GAAACATATAGATGCTGAAGGAATGTGGGCGGGCAGTCAATGCATGCAGTGGCTTTGTAATATAAGCTGAGATTGAATAAGTGAGATATTATGTAACATTATCATTAGAGATCACTACTTAGCTCCGAGCAGTACACGAGTTCCAATAATAGCTCCAACACCGACGAGAGCTGCAGCTCCAATGCCTATTAAACTCCATCGGCGACTGGATTTTCGACGCTCGGCGGCTTCGCGTTGTGCTGTGTCTCTTCGAATGATATCCGTTGCGACTGTCATGAAGTTCTTCTGGAAGTGTTAAAAATGCAGAACCTCCAACACAATTTTGAACACTTTTTGCACGCTTCTTAAGTATTTTGGGCGTTACACTTAAAGGTAGTGTCCGGGCAAATTTTCGGTTCCGAGTTGTACCCTTGCTGGACCATTTCGGTGTGCAGAACACGAATGGCAACTTCAAATACCGTAAATTTGTCAAAAACAAAGATAACGGCACTCGGATAAGGACGAGTGATGGAAGAGCGATACGAATTTTGACATTTGTTCCCAACGATCGCCTTTCTTGTTGAAGAGCACTGCTTCCGAGATAAACACGGGCAATGTAATGAGGAAATCACTGAATAGGTGGAGTGACCTAAAGGTCCAGAGCGAATTTCTTGCTTACCACAGCACATTTGCCTGAATTTGAGGAATAGCTTAGTCTGGGAGTCGGCTATCAACTCTTGAGAGCTCGAAATCTTTGCTTTTGCCCGGACGCTGCTGAGCGTTGGCATTTCTGTACGCACACGCTTATTAACAAAAGCAGTAAAAACGACAGAAAACATGAGGTAAAGTCGAATTTGAGTTATTAGGAAATGTCATCAATTATGAAACCATCTATTATACTTGCAGAGTGCTTACATTGGTTAGAGCTTATATAAAAGAAGCTCCAAAAAATTTAAAATATTCAATTCTTCGTACTTACCCAGCTCCTCTCATCCTCGACCCATGTCAGTCGTATCCGTTTTGC